TCCAGTGATTAACAGAAAAGAGATGTAGGAATAACACAAAACGGCATTGTATAAAGTCATAAAGAAACAAAGAAAATGAGAAGACATAAAGCAAAAGGAAGACATCCTACTAGACTAGGCAGAGACGTAAAATTTTCTCATAATCTCATCAATTTTGAAAGAGAAAGTCCTCTGACAAGAACAATAAAAACAAGCAAGCATCGACGTCGACAGCAATAGGTAAAAGGATAGTCACATCGAATCGCGATAGATCCGCGTTGAAACTCATCGTAACATTTATTTTGTAGCTAGGAAGAAAGAGCCAAAGCAGCATTATTGTCGCTGGCAAGACTGGACAAATATTTACCAAGCTAAAAAGTAGAAAGAGAGAGAGAGATAGGAAGAAAGAGATATAGTTAACGCACCTTGTTGCAGATGACAATGGAACCAGATCTAAGAGGAGACGAAGAAGGAGAAGAAGAAAGGAGATTAACACTATTTGTTCATCATGTTTTTGCAGAGAGAGATGTTGAAGATGATGATGATGACTAACTTCAGGGAGAGAGAGAGAGAGAGATATATAGGAGAGGATTTTGGGGGTTAAGATAATTAAATAAAGATATTTACATGGAAAAGTTTGTTTTTATATGTAAAATAATTCAAAATAATTTGGTTAAAAATGCAATATCCTGTAAGGGGAGAGAGAAAAAGGGACGGCCTCTCCGTTGGAAGGACAACTGAGCGGAGAATGTTGAGGCGTGAATTCAGTTGGGAGAAGGACAAAGATGCCGTGAAATCTCATTCAAGGGTATTTTCGTCATTTCCTTCCGTCTCAAATCCCCTGTTTTTTTTTTTTTTTGACTCCAGGGTAATTTGCCTGAGCTTAGAGGGGGGTTGATGGAATGCTGTAATATCCTTTTCATTGTCTTTTCTGTTTTTGACAAACTTAAGGGAGAAGTTATTTTGCCAAGTAATAGGGTATAGTCGAAGCATTGACTAAACTTTGGAGCTCAGCAGGTGACAGTAATTTTTTCTCCGAAAATAAAAATTTATTATCAAATATTAATACATATTAATTATTTTAATTAAAAAATTTTATTCGCAATATAATAATATTTTTATTATAATCATAATAAATTATTAAAAAAATTAATTAATTTATTATAATTTTAATAACATACTAATAAATTAAATCATATAAATTATATTTATTTAATCAAATATTATATATTAATTACTGTCAAATTCTAATATATTCGTAAGATAACAAATTTTATATAATTAATAAAATTTTAACCAAAAATTATTAAATGAAGTGATAAGATTTTAATCAAGTATTGTATTAATTTGATTTCTAATTTTTTTTTTTACTTTCTAATTTAAATTAAAATAAAAACAGTACATATTGTTAAAAAAATGAAATATTTAGAGGTAAATTTAAGATGTATTATTTAGTGCAAAATGTCAACTCTTATTAGATTTTCTTTTTTCCTAAATAAGTAATTTAAATTAGATATAATTGCAAGCAATTTATAGAGAAGACTTGACGTGTTTGTAATAAGTTAAATTAA